CTTTTTTTAAAGATTATTATGAATTGATAAAATTTATTATATATATATATAATATAATTTCGTTTTTAAAATTGTGTAATAATATTTTTTAAATTTAATATTAATTAATAATAGAAACAATTTAATATTTTATTAACTTTTTTTGAAGATTGTTATAAATTCATAAAATTTATTATATATATATATATATATATAATTATTTAAGAAAGAAATTTTTAGTTTCAAAAAATAAGATTTATAAAATTTATTATGTATATATAATATTGTAATTTTATTTTTAGAATTGTGTAATAATATTTTTTTAAATTAATCAATTAATAATGGAAACAATTTTATATTTTATTATCTTTTTTTGAAGATTATTATAAATTCATAAAATTTATTATATATATATAATTATTTAAGACAGAAATTTTAGTTTCAACAAATAGGATTTATAAAATTTATTATATATATATATAATATTACAATTTTATTTTTAAAATTGTGTAATAATATTTTTTAAATTTAGTATCAATAGTATTAAATTTAAATTTAGTTTAGTATATTTTAAATTTAGTATCAATTAATAATATAAACAATTTTATATTGTATTAACTTTTTTTGAAGTTTATTATAAATTCATAAAATTTATTATATATTTATAATATTATAATTTTATTTTTAAAATTGAGTAATAATATTTTTTAAATTTACTATTAATTAATAATAGAAGCAATTTTATTAACTTCTTTTGAAGATTATTATAAATTTATACAATTTATTATGTATATATAATTATTTAAGAAAGAAACTTTTAGTGTCAAAAAATAAGATATAACGATTAAATTAGTAATAAATATACGTATAATATATTAATAATTAAAATATATGTATATACATGTATAATTAATTTAATATATATATATATATACATATATAAGGCATTAGATGTAGCGATTTAATTAGTAATAAATATATGTATAATATATTAATAATTAAAATATATGTATACATATATAATTAATTAAATATATATATATAAAGAATTAGGTATAATGATTAAATTAGTAATAAATATACGTATAATATATTAATAATTAAAATATATATATACATATATAATTAATTAAATATATATATATATACATATATAAGCAAAGTAAATATATTCACCTGTTTATCAGAAACATGTCTTATTGAAAATAATTTTCACTGTTTTATGTTCTCTCTCTTTCTCTCTCTCTCTCTCGAATTACTAAGAATTTGACTCGTAAGATGCGTGGATTAAAAGGATAAACGTTTCTTCTTCTTCTCGTTTCTAGCCGATGCTCGCTGAAACGAAACGTGGCGGCGCCGGCGGCGCCGACGAGGTCGAAGAGGACGGTGTCGAGTATTACAGGCTCAGGTCGTTTTCCATAACGGCGAACGGCGTGTACAACCTCGGCGACTCGTTGAAGAGCCGGCGCAGCAAGAGTATCAACAGCGTCACGTCCTCGGGGACCAGCTGCAGCAGCACCAGGGAGGCCAGGTTATTGAGGTAAGGATAAATCAGTTGAACGAGGCACGTATGCATCGCGTTCGCCCTTTCAAAGAAAAGTCCTCCGAGAGGAGTTGATGGATGCAGTTGATTTGGTACACAAGGGTTTTCATTTTTCTTTTGAGGTTCATGGTGCTTGCTACATATCTAATAAAACATTTGAACATTTATGTTACATGAAAAATATTACATTTAACGAAATTTAACTTATTAAATTATTAATTATTAACTTATTAAAAATATTAGTTTATTTACAGTAAACACAATATCTTCTCTGTGTATAAAATTTTATTAAGATTGTAAAAGTGTAGATACACACATTAAATTATTACACACAATTACACAAGAAAACATTTGAATATATAATGTATACGTGTAATGTTATACATATGCATACGATATATACGTATAATGTGTAGTGTATATAGAATATATACATACATTAGATTATCCGATATAGTATAATATATATGCATATACGTACAATATATACATTAAATTATTGCTTAGAATTACTTACGAAAGTATTTGAACATTTGTCACATAATAATAGTTTTGTATGTGTATATTATGTGTGTTTGATACTTAGTTAACCAATTAGAATGATTATAATAGAATATGATCACTATGTTTTGAAATGAATGAAACCAATGAAGCGTAAGTATTCAAACACTTATTGGAACTTTTAATGAATATATTGTATGTGTTATATATAACATGACAAACATAAGTATACAATACATTATTATACATTATTATATTATATATATTATACTGTATATAATAATAATATAATATAATATAATATAATATAACATAACATAATATAATATAATATAATATAATATAATATAACATAACATAACATAACATAACATAACATAACATAACATAATATAATATAATATAATATAATATAATATAATAATATTATGATATATTATAATATAGTAATATAATAATATAATAATAATATTATATATAATATACATTACACAATTATATATAATTTCGTTATGAAACGAATACTATAGGGAGACTCAACTATCATGATTATATTCTATTACTTTATCTCATAACGAAACTTATTCAAAATTTGAGACCACTCTGAAGATAAAACATAAAACGTGTACATATGATATAAATGCTCGTGAAAATACTCGACTATATATCATGGAAGTTTTATGATACAGAACATTTTGAAGTTTCGTTAACACTGTGGCGATTACTATATTGGTAAAGTTCGAAACTAATTTGAAAATGTGTATATTAGATTGTTGCATGCAGCTGTTCACCAAAGTATTTAAACACACACACACACACACACACACAGAGGCACACACATCACGCGCGTCGTATAAAACGCTTTGAAGTTTCATTAACATCGTCGTGATTATATTGCGAAAGTTTGGAGGCAATCTGAAAATGTGGATATCAAATTGCTGCGTACATTGCTGCCCGCGAAAGTATTCGAGCATTTACCACAATATCAAGAAACTGTAACATTACAATACTTGATTACTTTGTTTAAAATTAATTTTTATCATAACATTACCTCGAAAATCTTAAATGGAAAATTTTCTTAAAATGAAGAAAATATATCCAAGACACGTTCTGAAATATAAATTTCTAGAAAGCAAATTAAAGATAAATAACAACTACCCTACCTTAAGAATAATTATAATATTATAATACTATATCACTTTGTTGAAAATGAATTTCTATTTTAACATTACTTCAAAAACGATTGAAAATTTTCCTAAAATGAAGAAAAAATATCCAAGACACGTTCTGAAATATAAATTTCTAGAGAGCAAATTAAAAATAAATAACAACTATCCTACCTTAGGAGAAACTATAATATTATAAAATACTTTATCACTTTATTGAAAATCAATTTTTATCTTAACATTACCTCAAAAATGATCTTAAATCGAAAATTTTCCTAAAATGAAGAAAAAATATCCAAGACACGTTCTGAAATTTAAATTTCTAGAAAATTAAAGATAAATAAAGATAAATAACAACTATCCTACCTTAGGAATAATTATAATATTATAATATAATACTTTATCACTTTGTTTAAAATCAATTTTTATCTTAACATTATCTCAAAAACGATCTTAAATCAAAAATGTTCTTAAAATGAAAAAAAATATCCAAGATACGTTCTGAAATTTAAATTTCTAGAAAATTAAAGATAAATAACAACTATCCTACCTTAGGAATAATTATAATATTATAATACTTTATCACTTTGTTTAAAATCAATTTTTGTTTTGACATTACCTCAAAAACGATCTTAAATCGAAAATTTTCCTAAAATGAAGAAAAAAATATCCGAGACACGTTCTGAAATATAAATTTCTAGAAAACAAATTAAAGATAAATAACAACTATCCTACCACAGGGGAAAACTATAATATTACAATACTTTGTCACTGTATTAAAATCAATTTTTATCTTAACGTTACCTCAAAAAAAAAGAACGATCTTAAATCGAAAATTTTCCTAAAATGAAACGAAAAGAATAATCCAAAATACGCGTATATTTCCGAGGTATAAATTGCCAGAAAGCAAATTAAAGATAAACAGCTACCCTGCTTCACAGCGGTGGAAAATAAGGGTTGAAGTCTGCTCCTGAAAAAAATTGACAGCGTCGCGACGCGAACGAAGCTTCATATTTTTTTTTTGTCCTCGAGAAAACCGTTTCAATTCTCCCGGTGTCGGTCGTCGAAAACGTGTAAACGTTGCCCTCTCATCGATTTTACGATCTCGACATATCGTATTTTCCACCGGGGCACGCCATTTACGTAGACCGAAGCTGCCGAAGCTAGCCCATGTGCCTTGCATATGCATTATACATGGAAACGTTCAACTGCCGGGTGACTATAGCTTGGACGGTTAAAACGCGCGACAAAGGCTAGACACACATTAGACGCAGCATGTCGGGGCGCAGCTTTCCCTGAGACAAAGGGAAACGATACATAATACAATACTTGCCACCGTGTGGGGTCGTTGCGACATGGAACAGCACAGAACTAAGGAGAGTACTTTTTTTTTCCTTTCCTCTCCCTTTCGAGTCACGCGATATCGTACACTGTACAAGTTGTTCGAGAGTTATAGAAGGGCGATTTCTCATGGAAGAAAAAAAAAAAAAAAAGAAAGGAAAGACGGGGGTGAAAGTTTCGTTCGGAGCTTAGGAGTTTTGTCGGAGAAAATCCTGTGCTTGGAAATTACGCTTGTTACCGAGAAATGTGTACTTTAATTTTGTTACTTTATTTTTATAATCGGCACTTTTATTTGCGCATTATTTTATTTTGTTTCAGTTTATATTTTTATTTGTTTCAATTTATTACGATTATCATTATTATTATACTTCTATTATTATCATGTTAATATTGTTATGTTATTATTTCGTTTCAATCTGTTGTAGTATTTTTATTTATTTCAGTTTGTATTTATTTATAATTATTTACTT